AGTTTTATGTAAAAAGTAATTCACAACTCATTAACTAACAGTTTATTAATGGACTATTAACTAGTTAAAACGGATAGTTATAAATAATTAACAAACTATTAACTTTTATTTAACAAGTAATTTATAACTCATTAACCAACAGTTTACTAATGATGTGTTAACTGGTTGTAACGTATAGTTATTCTAAAGTGTTACCTAAAGCGGTAGCATAAACAAATGTGGAAAAAGTGAAGCGCTATGAATACTTTCCGGGTGCACTGTATAGGGCCAAATATGCATGCTCACTGCATATACGTGTACAGTCTATTGATTAGCTGAGTCATGCTTGTCAGGCACCATCACTGTAGCTCAACCTCTGCTGACTTTATTGGCGTAATCAGTGGCTCACTCAATTAACAAGTGAGACTGTTGGTTTATCGCCATCTGCCGCACTTTGATAAGGCATTAATATACTGATATTCATCCACAGCCGCTAGTCAGGATTACATAGAGAAGACGAAGATGCAGTGGGAGTCTCTCTCTCTCTCTCTCTTACTCTCCATAGTTCAAATGTGGCAGAGCACTGGATAAATTGATGGGACGATCTGAAACAAACTTCATGTGCTGAAATCAAATTTAATTTCTATTGACCCTGAAAAGAAATATAGCTAATGGATTCGCTTATCTGAGCGTGCACGCTTCATGGGAACTGGCAGGCGGGGCTTTTTTTTGTCCTACCAAATGGATGTGTCACTCAGGCAATTTAACATATAGCAATGTGGGTCATTTCTGAGGATAAATGTTGATAAAACTATGAGGTGCCATAAATATGCTATGGTGGAACATATATTATGTGCGGGGCCCAGTCATGAATATAAATTTCTTTAATAACCTTACCCTGCCAAGGAGTCAAAGAGTACATTTGAAAATACGTGGCAAACATCGTAACGGGATTTGATGTGAAAAGCAATTTACTGTATCTAGCTCTATTTGAGGTGGTCTTTAGCATCCCAGTTCGAATCCTGCTTGGAGAAATGCAATATAAAATGGAAGAGGTCTTCTAGATTCCACTTGCTGCATGTTAGGAGAGGAGCTAGATGGTCCTACCACACCCTAACCATTCATTTAGTCGCATTAATATTAACAAAACTCCATTCATAAAGTCCATTGAGGTGATTCTGAATTGGGTTAAACTCCTTTCTGTAAAACCAGTTGTACCCCTACCCCTTCCCCTTGGCCCTTAAAACAAAGTGTGAATTGGAAGGGCTTTAAACTTTACCCCTAAGAACTGGGAAACCACTAATAAACCTGCACATGTCATCATATGTCAATGCGATCTCTTACTACATATGAGATCAATGATCGCAACTGCTGTATGTATTCCAGTTGTGTTATTTTTTGGTATTTATTTTCAGGAAATCATCAAAGGCAACAATATCATGTTATTATAATCATATAAAGTGGCAATAAGTTTGTAACTGTTCTGTGCATTTACACCGTGGCCATATTCATCTATGCAAACACACGAAAACAACATTAACATTATACCAAATACTGTAAAAAGGTTATTCCCAGCCACCAGACTTTTGTGGCATGGTATTGTTAGATGTAAAAGTATGTTGTGTGACTGCTATATAGGATATAAGCCTACCCCTTCACATGCAAAATTAAAGGTAGGAGTAAGAGAAATTTAGTATTGGGATTGGGCCTTGTTACAAGTTCAAATCAGTAAGAGTATAGGTGGAGTTTTCAAATTGGTGCCGTGACCCGGATGGGATTGAGGTTTAGTTGGGTGGCCTCAATTAGCACATTTAAAGTCCAAAAGAACAACAAGCCGTTGGGATTTTTATTTTAGTGTGTTTCCAACTGAAATAGAATATTGAATAGGGGGCGGGGCTTTCTTTTCATGCATCAATCCCCTCATAGCAAACTAATGGTAAAAGGGGCATGATTAAGAATATTGTGTCTGAAGCTGTCAAACTGACCTTATCAGTGAAAGAGTAGTAGATTAAGTTGTCTCAGTAGATTCACTTGCATGGATTAATTGTTCACAAAAATAATAACAATGTGTGCTAGTAAAATACACATTGTAAGTTTTGATAATAACTTAACAACTCTAACAACTTACGCTACAAGTAATATTCTGTAGTACACTTGTTAATGAGCCGACTGTCCGTGCTAAAAAGGAATAATATACTGAACAGAATATGTTAATGATCCAAGTACTCAGTTAAAACAACTGGAATGAATACAGTGGCAAGATTTTGGACTAATGGCATTTCAAAGTTGGTGAGCTTACTCTGCTAAAATTTGCTAAATGTTTTTTTATTTATTTTTTTTTACCTGGATATTTAGGACAAACACTTGATAATGTATAACTTGTAAATGTATCACATTAAGTCTGGTTATGAGAATATGACATCCCTAGCATACACCACAAGGACTCTCAACTTTTTGGCCTTTTCACACATTTTACACAAAAAAATAAAATAGAATAAATTATTGAATTAGTAAAAAAAAAAATAAAAATACACATACATGAATAGAAAAAGGCCACAAAGGGAATATTTGTAGTGCCACTGGACGTCCAGCCACGTTTATGTTCTCCAGCAGCCCTCCTCTTCCCAGCATTGAAGTCTAAATCAGTGATAACTTATTCATAAAGACCTATTCGCTTGAGAGAATAATTTATTTTCATAGATGCCCCTTTTACAGCCGTTCAACGCTGCATCCTGGGGGGGAGAGCCGTGTCATGTGCTGCTAGACTTTGATCAGGGCGAATGAAAGTTGGTTTCTAGATATTCTCTTGTGAAGAGAAGCCTCAGACAAGGAGAGCTTGCCATTCACTGTAATGGGTTTTGAAGACTTTGAGCATACCTTCTGGACATAGTGTTATCACTTCTTTTTTTGGCTTTAAGGGAGATGAAGTATAGGCAAGAGCAGCCGAAATGAGGAAACACTAAGGCTGCTGTATTTGCAGGCGTTCTACCTTCCTCCTTAAACCCATATTGAAGTCCCATTTTCAATGAAAATGATATCAATCCCAGGATGCCCTTGCCGCAGTTTTGCTAACAACTTCTCACAGGGGAAGTGTTATTTAAACTGCAAACCAAAATTTGTGAAATGTTCTCCATTCAATAAACACTCACTATGGGTAGACAAGCTCTTCTTGTAAAGAATTAATTTCCTGAAGGAGTAATACAACTTAAAATGACAAACGATTAGAGGTAAAATATTCAGATAAATACAAATGAATTGATAATACATTAAAATATGTATAAAAGCTTCAGAACAAATCAGTAATAAGTGATTATTAAATATGTATTTGTTAAAATATCTAATTAATTCCATGACTGTTCAATAAAAAAGGTCAAAAGAGGGTTTTCTTGTCAGAAATTTTACTAATTTTTGGGATACAAATGAATAATTTGATTCACAGAATTATGGTATCCTCAATGCAATGCAAAAGTTACATTCAGGAGGTGCACAACGACTTTCATTTTACTGATTCATGATTTTGTACTCAGCTGACATTAACAGGTGGAGTTTAGTGAAATTTGTAACTTGTCATTCATTCTCCAGTCCTTCATTGGCCACACCCATACATACATCCTCTTTTTCTACTTATTCTCTGCATAGCATCAAAAGCACAACTTCTCAACTGCAAATTCTGTGTTTATTTTCAACCACAGGAATTTTAACAGCCCAACTCAAGTTAATTTTAGACAATCTGTGTCATCAAAAATGCTTTATTAATATGCAAGGCATATCGCACTTAACAGAAGACGTTCAATTAATATATCACCTTTAAGCAATACAAATACAATTGTTTAATAAAAAGAAAAGAAGAAAAAACATTATATATATATATATATATATATATATATATATATATATATATATATATATATATATATATATATATTCATTTTTCAACAATATATTTTAAAATAAATATTTTACTCATCTTAAAAATTAAAATGTGCAGTTCACTCTTTAAAGATTTATACATGTTTAGGCTAAATGTGAATAATTAGGTAACATAATAAAAAATGCACACCCACAATTGAAGACTCATTTTCTGTTAAGCTTCTTAATGTTTTGCATAAAAGTTTTCATAAAGTTTCATTCATATAATCCCTAAGCCCCATTTAGGATATAAGAAGCAAATACAAGTCAGACTTCAAGAAGAAGAAGAATCAATTAGCTGAACATCTTCTATCTTCTTTGTACAGTGAGATGTACTTGAAACGCCTCCTCTGGTTTCACACTCAGTCTGGATAAATCCCATCCTATCAGGAATAACCTAGTCCTACCTGCCTAAACCCTAGGTAGGGATTTTTAGTTGACAGGGAGGAGGCGTTGCCTTGATATCCGCCAAATACAGAAGCAAATGGAACTTTGAAAGGATAAGAGGCTTCCGAGACTCTTTTATCTGCATGGGAGCCACACGTTTGGTAATACATTATACATTCCATTCTCAGCACAGTTTATGTATGCTTTAATCTGCCCAATAAGCCTGTCCTTCCATCTCCTCACCCTTGTGAGGAAAATGTCTTTATCAAATACGATAAAATAAGCTAAATCACCACACGCACTTAAGACAAGGCCAGCAGCTTTAGTTCTGAGTGGTGCGCTCTTACTTAAAAATCTGCATTGATAAAAAGCTGTATATATATATATATATATATATATATATATGCATGAAGAAAAAAGTTAGAAAGAAAACCGTGCTCTCACATTCCGAGTGGCAGAAGCTGTCAAAGCAATCCTAAACTTAATCATACTTCTATCCAACAACCCTGACCCGTGCAGTCTAGCTGCGGAGAAGGCATTGGAACTATTAATTAGAATATTATCTGCACCTGCTCTCGAGGACTCTTCTGGATTTATTCACATTAGAGAACGAAAGAGAGGGGGAAAAAAAAATATTTGACTCTCTTCAACCTTGAGGAGTGTAAAGAGCAGGAGAAAGTAGCACTCTGCTCAGGCGGAACAGGTAACAGTGGTTCTGTACTCACCATGAAGAGGTTGCGGAAGTTAGCCAGGTCTCCGAAGAAGTCCTCGATGCTGACGGTGTGTGGGTCGAAGGCGAAGTAGCTCCCCAGGTTCTCATAGAGCTTCTGCATATTCTTGTGCATCGTGGAGAGCTTCTCGTACTGCTCTCGCGAATGCTTGGAGAAGCCGTGAGAAGGATACGGTTAAGGAAGGACAAGCAGGGGTATTATTGTACAGTGATGGATAAACATCGACAAACAAAGCACCTCGCTGCCCTCAAAATCCTCAGCGCAATCCTTCAACAAAAGAGGTCACCTGCGGAAAATTGAGCAAAGCCAGCGCTTCTCCGCAGAGGTCAAGCGAGACAAACAGAGACTTTCAATAACCTCTCCATCTAAGTTTGGAGTCATTGAGCTATTAGCGTCGATGTAGGAGGGATAGAGGAGAGTTTCATAGTCTGGGGGACTAACGCAGATGCTGGAGGGAATAGCTGATTGCAGTCATTGTTTCATTGTTTCTCCAAACACAAGCGGGGTCAGTGTGCGCTGAACCCCCGTGAGAGATGCGCTGTGTAATTTAAAGAGCAGATGAAGGCAGGTTTTCACACTGAATGGCTATTGACAGCTCCTGTTGAGGATGTGCTATCTCACCGCTCACGAGGCGCACGTGGACGCCTCTGGCCTCAAAAACCACACACACACACACACACACACACACGCGAGTAAACAAACAGGTAGGGTGCATCATTGGCGCCTCGTTTTCTTTCTGCCATATGCTAATAAAGCATCTACGTATTCTGCACAATTGTGTTTCCTGTATTCAAAGTGGCGCGGACGGCCTGAGTATGCCCTTTTGAAGGAACTGAGAGGGTATTTCAAATCCACGTCTGGCATTTTATTCATACTATTCACACTCAGATGTGAGTCAGATTGTTTAACAGCCATAAATGTGCTGTCCTGAAAACATCTCTTTGCAACATGTTGAATGGAATCATGGAAATTACTCCATTCTAATGTTTTCTGATGTGAAATTGAGAAATATTGTAAAGGTTTCATATGAACATAAAATGAAGTATTCCAACGCAAATGTACTCAGTATTTACTCACCCTCAAGTGCTTATAAACCTTTATTAGTTTCTTTCTTTGGTTGAACAAAAAAGAAGGTATTTTATAGTTGGGTAAAAAACTGTAACCGTTGACGCCCATAGTAGGAAAAACAAGTGCCATGCAAGCTATTAATGTTATTTATTAAAATTAAAATATTAAAATTCAAAATATCACTGCATTCATACAACTTAAGCTTTAAAACAACAATAACAACAACAACAAATAAACATCACAGACTTCAAAAATGGCCTAATGGAAAACTAGACATGCTTTGCCTCAGAACCACTCTGAATCTAAAGAGACCAACCGTACGTTTTTGGTCAAAATATTCACAATTTATAAGTAAAAACAGCCCTTTTTTAAATCTTCCAAATACTAAGTAACACAACACTAAGACAAAACTCAATAGATACCCTTAGAATATGGTTGTCAAAACATGCTTCAAGTTTGGTCTCAATATTTTAAAGTCATTCCTGGCTCATTCTGAAAACGTACCACTATATATATTTCTGGAGAGGGCCAAATACATCCAAGGAGGTACGATTTTTGCAGTTTTTGTTTTTACGAAGCCACCAGAGGCCGCTGTGAATTCCTTTGAGAACTCAAATTTGTCTCACAAGTGTCATTCGCACCTGCTGTTCTTGCGTAAATCCACTGAAACTGACTGACTGATTGACTGACCCTTCTTTCTTATTCCCTAAACCTAACTAATAGTGTAATGTATTGTAATGTGTATTTATATAGTGCATTTATTGTGTATAGTCATACACTCAAAGTGCTTCACAATCATGAGGGGGGTCTCTTCACACCACCACCAAAGTGCAGCATCCACTTGGATGATGCGATGGCAGCCACAGGACAACGACGCCTTTGCGCTCACCAAACACCAACTATTGGGGGAGTGGAGAGACAGTGATAGAGCCAATTCAGTGGATGGGGATGGTTGGGAGGCCATGATCGTAAGGACCGATTGAGGGATTTGACACCAGGGTTACACCCCTTCACTTTACAGGAAGTGCCATGGGATTTTTAATGAACACAGAGAGTCAGGAACTCGGTTTAACATCTCATCTGAAAGACGGTGCCCACTGACAGTGTAGTGTCCCCTTCACTTTTACTGGGGCATTAGGACTCACACAGACCACAGGTTGAGCGCCCTCTGCTGGCCTCTCTAACACCACTTCCAACAGCAACCTAGTTTTCCCATGTGGTCTCCCATTAAAGTACTTACCAGGCTCAGCCCTGCTTAGCTTCAGTGAGTAACCAGTCTTGGGCAGCAGAGTGAAATGAAAGTGTTTTCAAAAGCATCGATTGACACCCCCACCCCCCACCCACTTCCCTAAACCCAACCAAGAGTTTCAAAAAACAATCTAGAAAAAGAAAAACCCTCGCCTGATTTTTCACCACGATTTCAGATTTTACCACATTCTCATCTTGTTATTTACTTTTTTGGCTTCTGTTTTTGTCTTATACGCTTTCCGGAACTGATCTTTGTCAGACCTAAACCCTGTCGTCACGGTCAACTCCTCTCTCCAAGTCCGCCAATGTTAGTGGCTAGCTAACTGGACAAACTTGTAACAGCGAGAAAGCTTTTTATATAGAGGTAAGTGGTCAGCTGCTATCGTGAAAAGGAACAGTGTCATACCACCCCGTGTTGTTCATTTTAACGAACCATATATAGGGCTACGTTTTCAGATGTTGCAAAAATAGCCTTTATAGGAAACTAGACATGCTTTCACCTAGAACTGCTCTGAATCTGAGAGGACCAACCTTATGTTTTTGGTCAAAATATTCAGAATGGATAAGTAAAAATAGCCCTTTTTATAACTCCCGAATACCAGGTGACACAGCACTGTGACAAAACTCAATAGATAATCTCAGAATATGTTTGACAAAACATGCACCAAGTATTTAAAGAGTATCCCTACATCAATATTTCAAGAGCCTTTTTTTCTGACAAAAAAATATTTTTATTAAAGTTCAACTACCGTTTCAGAATGTAAGGCATTTTTATGCCAAAATTATAAATAATTTAATGAAGTACTTTTTTAACCTCAATTCAAAATGGACTAAGTATATGTTGATTGCTGTCAAAATGATCATTTTGCCACCTCATTAACACATTTTATACAGTAATTTCGTTCCATCCATTCATCCATCCAACCAACAGTGAAAAAGGTCTAAATTATAAGAACCCCATGGATCTGCAATGGTGTAGAGAGATCTTATAATGTGAGTAAAGAGTAGAATATTTAGAGAATATTATGAAGGCTAGAGTATACATAATGCTGGCAATTATTCCACAATGGCTAACGCAAATGCTTTACTCTAACAGTCATTTACTGTGAGAGTCCTAAAAGCTGAATAGAAAATGAGTCTGAATCTGCAATAACGTCTGAAAGTGTATACGTCTTGTCCTTGGGGCTGAGTTTTATGAGCTCTTTTGACAAGTTCGAAATGACTTCCTGTTTCTTTTAAGATGAAAAAATGAAGCAAAAATCTTCAACAGGTTGTGCGACGCTTCCCTACTTTAATATGTTGTGTTTGAGCAAGCTCTGGTTAAAATGAAGAATGTGGATATAGCTAAATCAAAGCAGAGGAGCTCTGAGATTTAGTCTCAATTGAATACAATGGAGAAAACACTGCTGCTGCCTGAGAGAAAGTGTTGGAGAATACGTGGGAGTGTTTGACAACAGCTCATCACAGTCATATGTAGTTCCACCGGACTGGGCCGAGCCCTCACCGGCTATTATTTCCACATCAAAGATTTGTCACATTGACAACAGCTGACATGCACGGTCCAATATCAGTCCCGGCTTCTCCTCCAAAAGCAATTCCTTCAGCTCTTTCTCTTGCTTTTTCTTTACTTCAATCTCTCTCTCTTTTTCGTTACCTCTGTAAGAACTTTCAAAGTATACTCTTCACGCTTCTTTGTCACCCGTGTCACCTCTGCTTCACATGCTGGGGTGGAGAGAAGTTCCTGGATAAAACATTATGCGCTCCCTTCTCCAAAGCAACCGCCTTCTGGTTCTCTCTCTCTCTGTTTTTCTCCAGCTGTCCTCAAAGGAAAGAGCGAACACAAGTTTCCCCAGCAACATACCATATTTCACTATACAGAAAGCCTCTCTTAAAGAAATACGTTCCCTATTTTAACTTTTCTATAACAATAAATAGTGCCTGCTAGACGTTCTGACAAGACAGCGTTAGAAAAATAGTGTAAAAACTCACTTTAACCTCATTACTTTACAAAACTACTTTAATGATAGCGCAACAAAGAAGCCTGGAGAAGAGGATCCTGCACATCAACCATTCAGCACAAGATAAATGATTAAAATACCTGGAGACGGTGTGAAAAAACAATTGTCTGCCTCTAGAAAAATGACCAGAAAGTGAATTCCAAACACTGCCACCTGTGAAGTCTGCCATAAATTACCTTGTTTGTTTACCTGTGTGCTTGTATGAGTGAATAAAATGGTGCATGGCTCCCTTAGGCTAGGCCAAAAAGCCTCCTTAATAAATCTCCCCTAACCCACTTCCATTAATGTTTATTTAATGCTTTCCTATGTGCCTCCTGGCTCTGTGCTGCGAGGCAGATAGCAACTAAGCTTTTAGTGTGGATTGACTTTCCCCCTCCAGCCCCACAGCCAAATATATACATCCCACCTCAGTTTGGAGCAGAAGGTTGGTGTAATTTCGCCAGGCCGACAGCAAGGACTGCATTCATGGCTATAGAGCATTTGTACAAGGGGAATAGGGCAAAGAAGCATACATTGTTGGGTTTTTGAAGAACTAATCGCATGTCACGGTAAGATAGAGGGACAGAAATAAACAGTAGTTCTAATAGTAACCTGTCTGTTGTTATTGTTGGGGAATAGCACAGATAGAAAGCGGGCCTGCAGTGTATGAGCGAGGGTCTCTGTTTGGCAGATTTATTGATCCACTGCAAGCGAAATGCAGTGCTCTTCACATCTTTTAAAGGAATAGACTTCCACAAATAGATAAAAAATAAAAATCATCACAAACTCATTCTCAAGTCATCCTAAACCTTTTATTGTTGAAACACAATATGTGTTATCCTCAAG